TTGATTCAATTCAAAATCAGCTTGAAACAAGAGTCCAGACTCTTTAAATCCGGCGGCAAGAAACTGCACTCTTGAACCAAGAGGTTTTTGTTACCAGTGTAAGGATGCGACTATTTCAACTCAAAGGAGCTTTTTTGCCTATTAATGAAGGTCAAATATGTGTCTTGCCACACAGCGGAAATCCAAATGATCATAAAGGGTCGCAGTGCTTGAAAGAAGCACTCATTAGGGTTGATGTACCAGCGTTTTAAGTAATGGGAAATATTTATGAACGTATGAGAGTAAAAAGGAACTGTAAGGCGCGCTAATTCTATTCACATATGGTTCCTTTTAATTTTATTCATTTGCACATGGTTCCTTTTAGCATACTTATATTCAAAAAATCAGCAGCAATCAACAAGAGAGTTACGATTTCGAATGTTTTAAAAGAGAACAGAAGTAGAAAGCACCAAAGGAAGAGAGGAAAAAAGCAAGGAAAATATCAGGCATAGCTTGAAAATTCAGATGATCAATAGTGAAAATGGGAAGATTCCTTACTGGATTTGCAACTTTACAATTCTTTAAGGACAATATGCTTTTATGTCATTCCATCCCCATTTTTGACGAATATAGTGTAATATTTTAAAACGATGTAATCTATTTGTCATAAATTCCTCATAACATTTAATTAATGAAGACAATTGGAGATCATTTACATTGACGTGTGGTTAATGTATGAGTAGAATGTCAGCGAATGTTGAGCGATACGAGAGTTCCTTCATTTATGTGGGCATGCAATTTGATATCATGGGAGTTGTGATAGTTGATGTAGGCGAAATGTAATCGGTGCTGTGTACATACGTAGGAGCTAGCGAACAAGTTATATCGTACCGTTAATTTTTTAAGTTCTTTAACTGGATTGCATTTTGCAAAAAGGAACCACTAGCATTGCGATGATGCTAAGATTGTGCAACTTCATCCTTTGCAATAAAATTGCGGAAATTGTGAAAAACTATGAAATTTATATGGTAAGTTTTGTCTTAAATTTACAGTTTTTAGCGAGTAAAATAGAAACCATTCAGGGATAATCGGGTTTTTCCTCCAAGACAAAAGAAGTTGCACAATCTTATTAACATTGCAATGCTAGTGGTTCATTTTTGCAAAATGCAATCCAACTATCTTAGTTTTTCAATCTAAATATACTAATTTTCCAAAGGCTGCCCTTCTATTTTGGAAAGCTGGACTTACAATAAGATTTATATACATACCGGTATGTGCAAAAGGAACGCTCGATGCGCAATAACTTTTTAAACGACACGGAAAAAACAAGACTAGTGTTGAGCACTACTGGCCGTTTAGTGGGGAGTAGTTGAGGGCTGGCGTCTAAGCGCTGTACAGCTCAAGACCGGAAGGCAGTACAGGTGGGCACTGAACATGAGTAGTGCTAATCAGATGCCGCGAGACGTAGTTGCGCTTAACAGGTGTAAATTCACCCATGGAACGTCGGAGTCACCAAAGCCTGGTGGTAACGCGCTGGTCTTCCACCGGCGCAACTCGAGTTCGCTCCCAGGCGGAGGCGTTTCATATTTTACGCTCGCTCCGAAGTCACTTTAGGGCTTGACACTACTTCTTCCTTAGTGACCCAGCCTCGAGCTGTTTAGTGCCCAGCACTCCTCTGACTTGCTGGCTCCATTTGATCTAACCCTCGTTAGTGCCCAGCACTAACATGTAGGTCTCAACCCTAAGCTCGTTTTTTCCGTGGATTTAGTTAAAAGGTTCCGGTTTGGACTATTGTCCTAATATTCGAAGAAAGGGACTTCGGAGGGGGAGTTATGGAAGGGAGGCCAGGGAGGGAGGCCAGGGAGGGAGGCCAGGGAGGAGAGCGCCCCCCCCCCTCAAAATATCAAAATTTTCAAATTGGGACACTCCACTTGCACGGAAAAAACAAGACTAGTGTTGAGCACTACTGGCCGTTTAGTGGGGAGTAGTTGAGGGCTGGCGTCTAAGCGCTGTACAGCTCAACACCGGAAGGCAGTACAGGTGAGCACTGAACATGAGTAGTGCTAATCAGATGCCGCGAGACGTAGTTGCGCTTATCAGGTGTAAATTCACACATGAGACGTCGGAGTCACGATAGCCTGGTGGTAACGCGCTGGTCTTCCACCGGCGCAACCCGAGTTCGATTCCCGGCGGAGGCGTTTCATATTTTACGCTCGCTCCAAAGTCACTTTAGGGCTTGACACTACTTCTTCCTTAGTGACCCAGCCTCGAGCTGTTTAGTGCCCAGCACTCCTCTGACTTGCTGGCTCCATTTGATCTAACCCTCGTTAGTGCCCAGCACTAACATGTAGGTCCCAACCCTAAGCTCGTTTTTTCCGTGTGTGACACAAAGTTATGGCGTACCGAGAGTTTCCTTTTTATATCCCGGCAGGTGCCCCAAAGCTCAAAATGATTTAAGTAGAAAAAAACACACAAAAAAACGTGTAACTAAGGCTAATAAATAACAAAAGCCCGGGATGTTTCGGGGTGGTATACAACACCTAGGACCCTGTTCGTGATAACAAAAAGTACAGAGGACTACAAAGTCTAGTAGAGACCTACAATAAATACATACATATGAGTCGCTTTTATAGCGCTCTTTGGCGCTTTACGACGCCTAATCGCCACAAAGCACGGTCTTCCCACAGGTCATCAGGGAGTTGACACTCCCTCATCTCACTCAACACCCCCTGTCGCCAACCTCTCACTGGGCGTCCCCTACGTCTCCTCCCAGGAGGAATCCAAGCAAGCATCTTTTTTGGCAGCCTCTCTTCAGTCATCCTATTGACATGACCATACCAGACAAGCTGTCTGGTCCTGAACAATAGATAATCGCTAAAATTCCCTTATTTTCCTATTCTACTTTGTGCCACCCTTCAAAACACTTTCCATCAATACTCATCCCGATTTGTATTGATTTCTGTTTCAGTCTTCAGTTACAAAACTTCGAGGCAAAATACTGGCTACGAGGCCATCGTCTTCCCGGGTGAAGCATCAACTACATACACGGACAGTCCACCCAGGTATCCACCCAAGCCGAATAAGTCACCGATCAAAGCGGCAAGGATTAGTGATACTAGTAAGTAACTTTCACGTCTTTAAGATTAGAGTTTGGCAGGGTATGAAATGTGCCAACCAAATTCATGAAGTTTTACTTAAATTGTAGCTCAAACGCCGATCAGAGCTCTTTACTGCCACATAACTACTACAATTTTTCGTCGCGCTAGCGAAACGACATAACTGCATCTCAATTTTGAGAAATTTTCACCCACAATTACAGCCATGTCTACGAAATCGATGGCCATTTTCAAGAAAAATTGCGCTGATTTTTCCTCAAATCAAACGCAAAAATTGGTTAAATCTTGAATTGTAGTTGCCAAGTCACATCCCTCTAAAAATTTAATTTTTTGGGTCAGTTTTTCAACCTTAAAATGAAATACGTTCCTTCGTCAGGGAGACCACCGCTTTACTGGCTGGATTTGGTGTTAATCTTATCTGAGTTCCAATTCACCATTTGATGATCTAAAATAATCCTCCTTAGATTATTAGAGCTTTCACTTTTGAAAAATGAATGAAATCTGGAAAAATGCCAAATTAAATACAAAAACTAAAAAAGAAATACGTTAGGTGATAATCGGACGAATTTTAAGCGTAATCAGCCCAACTGCATTTTACGTTGTTTAATTTCCGAGCATGCTTTCTTTTTCGAACAGACCTTGGAACAATCGTCTTGAAAGTTTGTGTAAGTTTTTTTCAACTTATACAGAAATTACTCAAAAATTTTCAAGTCGGAACGTTTCTTGATATTCCTGTAAAAAAAGATAAAATACCAAACAGTCCACCCCGGTATCCACCCAAGCCGACTAGGTCACAGGTCAAAGCGCCAAGGATTAGTGAAACTAGTAAGTAACTTTCACGTCTTTAAGATTAGGGTTTGGCAGGGTATGAAATGTGCCAACCAAATTCATGAAGTTTTACTTAAATTGTAGCTCAAACGCCGATCAGAGCTCTTTACTGCCACATAACTATTACAATTTTTCGTCGCGCTAGCGAAACGACATAACTGCATCTCAATTTTGAGAAATTTTCACCCACAATTACAGCCATGTCTACGAAATCGATGGCCATTTTCAAGAAAAATTGCGTTGATTTTTCCTCAAATCAAACGCAAAAATTGGTTAAATCTTGAATTGTAGTTGCCAAGTCAAATCCCTCTAAAAATTTAATTTTTTGGGTCAGTTTTTCAACCTTGAAATGAAATTACGTTCCTCCGTCAGGGAGACCACCGCTTTACTGGCTGGATTTGATGTTAATCTTATCTGAGTTTCAATTCACCATTTTATGGTGCTCTTATGAAAATAATCCTCCTTAGATTATTAGAGCTTTCACTTTTGAGAAATGAATGAAATCTGAAAAAAATGCCAAATTAAATATAAAAATTAAAAAAGAAATACGTTAGGTGATAATCGGACGAATTTTAAGCAAAATTAGCCCAACCGCATTTTACGTTCATTAATTTCCGAGCATGCTTTCTTTTTCGAACAGAACTCGGAACAATCGTCTTAGTTAGTTTTCTTCAGCTTATACAGAAATTACTCACACAATTTCAAGTCGGAACGTTTCTTGATATTCTTGTAAAAAAGATAAAATATCAGAGGAAATTAAACACTGATTAAGGTACATAGGCTAATTCTAGTTGAAATGTTCTTCGAAAAAATTGTGTATAACGCCGAAAAACCTTTTTCATTGAATTAATTTTCCTTGAAAGTATCCAATATTATCCACTATTTTGGAAAAAAACATTTTGTGTATCAAAGATTTGAGTTTTAGGATCGCTCCTGTAAATTATGTACCGGGGAAATTCAATTTGAAATACCGACTCCTAATAACGAAACCACTTTGTATAGAAAATCCGAGCTGTTAAAGGAAATACATGCGAATGAAATTCCAACTTGAATTGTATCTTTTTTTAATAGAGTGTGCAGAGTACAAAAAACTGACAAAAAGCAATGATTTTGGAGCTGGTCAGTCAGAATCTTCCTTCCGGGATAGCTGTCCTCAGGCCAGTTTCGGTGTGGCAGTCGTCGGTGGGGAAGATGCCGCTCTCTATGAATTTCCGCACATGGTAAGTCCTAGGGTCCTACAATAGGTATAAATAAATATTATCAACAGAAAACTCCATTCTTATTGACCTCAAGACACCGAATACTACGTTTTTCAGTGCAACGTCAATACTTAACAGGAGTGTAAAAACTTTACAACACTGTATAGTTTTTAGTTGCTAAGTGATTTTCTCCCTGCTGTTCTGTGTATGCTGTTCATATATAAAAAGTTACTGCGATCCAGTTTGGTTTCCTCCGGTATTTGAGATTATTTATTTACTGATTAGTTTAGCTATTGAAAATAGCTCCATTTGGTGACCCCGACGTGATTATATACTCGAAATCTCTAGTCAAAGTGAAAAATAATAGGAATTAGAGTGAAGATGAAATGTGAGTGTGAGATGAGATTGAGATAACCTTAAAAAAAATGAGAGAGTAAAAGTAGACGTTGCGTTTAACACTTTGACAAGAGCATTTCTTACTAATTTATTATTGAGGATGCAGTGAGCGGTTTTCAAGGGTGGGTATTGATTACACCGGAGCGTTGAACGTAAAAGCATCATCCAGAAAAAACGCTAATGTGTTGCGGACATATGTCATAATTTTTGTATGCTACGTGTCGAAAGCAGTTCATCTTGAAGTGGTTTCTGATCTATCTTCAAAAGCGTTTATTTCTGCATTTAAAATATTTGTAGCAAGAAGAGGATTACCTACAAAAATTTTCTCGGACAACGGTAGAACATTTTTAGGAGCAAGCAATCACCTTCGAAAACAGTTTGATGCACTAACAAAGGATCCAGATATCCACAAATACATGACAGAAAATATGATAGAATGGAAATTCAACCCTCCCAATTCTCCTCATCATGGTGGACTTTGGGAGTCAGCAATAAAAATATTCAAATCGCAATTGTATAAAGTAATAAGAGCAAGAATATTTACTTTACAGCAATTAACGCAGCTTGTCCCTCAAATTGAAGCTGTGCTCAATTCAAGACCTTTGGTACCCTTGTCCAGCGCTCCTGAAGAGTTTGACGTATTGACGCCAGGTCATTTTTTAATAGGACGACCTCTAACATCTTATCCTGATAACACACCTACAAAGCACTCTACAAAAATTCTACAGGCGTATGAGGCAATACAGGAAGGATTCAACATATTTTGGAAGAAATGGCAAAGGGAGTATCTCCAACACATTCAAACATTTTCCAAGTGGCACTCAAAAAACGAATCTCCGAAAATAGGATCGTTAGTCGTAATAAAGGATAGACACTGTCCCCCGATGTTTTGGAAACTAGCAAGAATACAAAAACTTCACCCAGGATCAGATGGCATCACAAGAGTAGTTACATTGAAAACAGCAACATCCACACTAGTGAGAGCCATCACTGAAGTTTGTGTATTACCGTTAAGTGATAACTAACTTAAATTTAATGTGCTTAAAAAACACACACACAGTTTTTACTGATGAAATTTCAATTTCAAAATTTTCAAATTGTTACTTTTACCTTTTTACATTTATTACTTCAAAATTTTCAAATTTTTAATGATATTCAATCTGTATACATTTTTTAAGGGGGGAGAATGTAAAAACTTTACAACACTGTATAGTTTTTAGTTGCTAAGTGATTTTCTCCCTGCTGTTCTGTGTATGCTGTTCATATATAAAAAGTTACTGCGATCCAGTTTGGTTTCCTCCGGTATTTGAGATTATTTATTTACTGATTAGTTTAGCTATTGAAAATAGCTCCAAGGAGTCTTTAGGTGATGTCCGCTAAAAAAAAATTGTAAGAAAGAAACTTTGTTTTGCTTTTTAAAGTTTCTATCAACTTTAGGGCCAAAGAAAGCTCTTACACTTGTCCTTATTCGCCGTTAAGAGCATATCCAGTGATTTTACCTAGACGCAAAATATTGGTGACTTCTGTTAATACTCCACAAAAAATATATCTCATCCGAAACCGAAGGTCACATTTCCACATTTGCAGTAAATAGGGTGTCCTTTTCATTATCTCTCATGAGTCATTTACAACCGCTGCAAATAAAAAAAATAACATGGTTATTTCATTGAGGAAAAGTGTACCAGCAGCTTGAGAGTGTTTTTATTGTGTAAACTAGGGTTTTCCAAGTGGAACTCTAAACTTCCTCACTGACGTCTCGACAATTTAAAAGAAGCAGGAAAACCGTTTACCCCCTTGAGAAAAACCCAGAGAGAGGGTCATTCTAAGTACGAATTTGCTCTTGTATGATGTTTTGCAACACCCTCTGCAAGCATGACAAATTCGCCATGGTTAATTTAAAACCGTCGAAATCTCTGTTACACGATTTGGTAGTCACGAACACTGTTGACTGAGTATGGTCTTCAAAATTTGTGATACAAGTTTACTTTGATTTGATATACGATTTCTCCAGTTGAAGCTTGACGCTAATAACTCATGCATTTTTAAATACGCGTGGCAGCACGGACAGTTGCAAAATTATACTCTAGACACGATTAGTTTCAACAACGTAAACTATTTGCAACGTGTTTTTGCTCATGCACAGGATCAGTCAAGCAGAATGTTCAGTTACAATGATCAAACTTCTGAATTAGAAGCCCCTGCAGTCGTTTACGGTAGAGTATACCTGTACAGCGTATGAAACTCCGAAAATCCATCAGGCCTTCACCGATGCCTCTGCGAATGAAGTTAGGGCCCAGAAATGCAGCCAACCTATGAATTTCAATTATCCAGAGCGATTTATTAATACAATTGTTACGAAGCATCGTTTATAAAGCACGTACTTGACTTAGTTTTTGCATAAATTTACTCATTTTTGCGGAAGAACGCTCATTTATGTACATCCTTCGCCATCTTGGTTAGAATTGGAATCTGCAGACCGGCAGTGAAATTTTGTGCGTTTGAAGTTGGTTAGAAGGGTGGCTGCACTTTTGGGCCCTAAGCCCTCCATGAAGCGATCTGTCCATACTCTCGCTATACAGATACTCTAGTTTACGGGGCTTTTGGTCTTCCGAAAGTCTAGAAGCTCTTAATTTACGGGGTGCTTAATTTAAATCGTTCAGAGTTGTCAGTATCACGTTTCCGTATGACTCATCTCCGGTGTCAAACTTTCACTGCCGGCGAGTCGCGATCCGTAGTTTATGATGGTAGTTACTTGACCAACCGGGTTGAGTGGAGCGCACTTGAATTTACATCGAAGTAATATCACTTTAGGTTGGCAGATTTTGGCAGTAAATTACACAATGGACGCACAGTGTAAGTTGTCTCGTAGAATTTTTCTGCACTATTTTGACTGCGTAATAGGGTATCCTCTTCAAAGGCCAAGAGCACTATTCTTCGCTCATGTGATGCAGATGTTTCGAGCAATTTTAATGCGAGTATTATATATTCACATTAATTTATGGCACCCTTCCGCAGCTCCTCATTAAGAACACAAAACGGCAAAACATCTTATTCAAAAAGAGACTGTTGGGCATCAAATTCTGTTCCTTGAATTGTCTCCTGCATTTGCATCAGGTTTCAATTTTTATTTTTTTTTTTTTTTGAAACCGGCGCAGAAGTATTGCGTGATTCTTATATTTATACTATGAAAATCATAAGGATGGAATCACCGGGTTAATCATCGAATTTTATACGTAATAATAGACAAAGGAAACAAAGAGAAAATGGATCAATCCTATTTGTAGAAGCGGGTGGTTGCAATGGACATGGTAAGTAAGTAATAGACTAACTAACGGCAATCGACGAGGGACCTGATAATTATTCTATCATTATCCCCCTTTCTGTAATAACTACCCGTTTCGACCAATGAGATCGCTCCGTTTTCCCTCTGTCTTCTTTGTCCATTCCTTTATCATTCTATCTTCATCTATTTCAATATTCAGCGCCTAGAACTCTTGACAAATATATGCTCAATCTACCATGTTGAGGAAAACGCCGTGCGACCTCTTAGGCGTTGCGACAGTCCATCTGAGAATTTATGAGCTCCCTGAAAAACGTTTGAATAATTTATGGTATCCAAAATTGTTTATAATAATTCTTCATAACTTTCGTCAAAAATAAATCCCTCAACGGAAGAAATTTAGCTACATTAGAATGTTCAGGCCGTGTTTCCTCTCACCTTGGCAGGAATCCACTACAGCGGGCCATATAATGATTGAAACTGATAGACAAATAAGACTCGCTCCGCGAGTAACTGTTGGCTCGCGAAGCGAGCCAAATTTTGCTACTACCAGTGCTTAGAGGACTTCCTGGAGGCAAAATGATAAATTCAAAAACAAAGAATAGGAAACTAAAAATTACCTACTTTTAGAAAAAGAAACAACCTTGAAAAATAAATAACACTCCTGGAAAAGAAAATCAGAACACTTTTTGAAAATGTAACGGTGCGAAAGGGTGAAGATAAATCACCAATTCTCTTGGAAGAAGACATGAGCCGACCCCCGACATGAGTGAAACTGCCGTAGGACCCATGCTAGGGTAGAAGGGTGACACGTGTTGTGAGCAGGTAGGGATGGGTTTACGTGGAGAGGGAAACGGAAAATCAGAGGGTGGGAGGTCCCCCAACCATATGACTCGTCCAGCGTCAAAAACGCAAATATGTCGTTATCAAATCGAGGTAAATTTTGCAACTTCGGTCGCGCAAATCGAAAAACGAAGGGGTCTTGGCACATCTAGACCCTATGAGCTTTCATTTAAAACAAATCCGAGGAAAATCGGTCCAGTAGTTTCCGAGATCGAATTAGCACAAACTGTCCAGCGTCAAAAACGCAAATATGTCGTTATCAAATCGAGGTAAATTTTGCAACGTCGGTCGCGCAAATCGAAAAACCAAGGGATGTTGGCACGTCTACAGCGTAAGAGCTTTCATTTAAAACAAATCCGAGGAAAATCGGTCCAGTAGTTTCCGAGATCGAATTAGCACAAACTGTTGGAGGCCAAAAAAGGCCTTAGGATATTTAATATATAGATAGAAAGTATGGGGCAATCCCATTGGTTGAAATGAGTGGTTCTTACAGAGTAAGGGAGAAGATGATGGACTAACTATATGGTCTCTCGTGGGCTGTCTTTAGTTAGTCTATCACCTACCTCCTTTGTCCATTGCAACCCCCCGCCTCTACCATCAAGATAGCTCCATACCGACGGTGAAACTACCAAACCACGTATCTCGTTTGCGGTGTTTAAAAATCTACGCTCGCATTTTATTTTTTTGAAGTAGACTAAATCAATATCATTCCTTGAAATTTTCACAGAATTTTCTCCGCACGAAGAGGAAAAATCACAGAAATTTTCAAGACTGGACGTTAAGTAGTTTTTCATTTAAAAAATGAAGTATCACAGGAAGTCTGCGACGTCGCAAACCGAGATACGTGGTTTGGTAGTTTCACCGTCGATATGCTTTTTGCCTCCTTTGTCCGTAGCTTTTTTTTATCACTGTCAATGATCAGCCCGCTGTGTTCTTTATACTGTCCAACCTCAAGCTTTTATCTTCGTGCACTTGTGTGCTTTTCAAGTAAGTTGATACGTGATAAGAACCATCAATTCGCACGCCGAAGTTGTCAGTTGTTTTTTCTTGTCCTGTGTTAAAGTCTCCAAATAAATCCGTGTAGCTCATTGAATGGGCCTGTTGCAACTTTTGCTAGGGCAAAAAGAAGAATTGTTCCTTACAGATAATGTCTCAAAAATCACGATGAGCGCATCGGCAAAGCATCTGAAATGCACTCGTTTCTTCACAATTTGCGTAAGAAATTTGCGTTTTTTCGAGCTTCCCGCTTCATAAAGGATACTTCAGCACAGGTGAACATTTCGTTAGAGGAGTCATTCCATTTAATCCCTACTCAACATGGCCGACATTTCCGCGCGCAAGTTGAGGACAGCATGAGGTCAATCAAGGCAGATATCTATCAACGCGAGAAAAATGTGAATGTAAACACGCCGATTGTTAACAGGTGGTTAGAATCATCGTCCCGTCACATGTGTTTAGGCAGATTGGCGTCGCGTCGGCTATTGTTGAATATTGCGTGGTATCCTTGTGAGTAGGGGTTGGATGGAATGACTCCTCTAACGAAATATTCACCTGTTCCGTGGTAATAGTTTTTAAAGCGGGAAGCTCGAAGAAACGCAAATTTCTTACGGAAATTGTAAAGAAAGGAGTGTATTTCAGACTTTGCCGATGCGCTCATCGTGATTTTTGAGACACTTTCTACTAGTAACAACTCTAACTTTTGCTCCAGCAAAAGTTTGCAACAGGCCCATTATCAAGTACTACGCACATGTTCCTTTGTTTATTTTTTGCACGATTCGAAAACCACGATAATTTGTAAAAGAAGTAATCAAGAAAGTTAGGATGGCGTCATCTCGGCTTTTTAATGACAGTCTCTCATTAGCAAACGCATCGAACAAGTTTAGAGGAAAGAGAGCGCCGTATCTAAAAAAATCAACCTAGCTTTTTTTTTAGTAAGATGATTGACCTATTTATTCATTTGAATAAGAAATGGTATGATTGATTGCTTGCAGGTCGCGCTAGCTTATAAGAACCGAGGTCGTCTGGGTTACTATTGCGGAGGCACCCTCATAAGTGAGAACTTCGTTTTGACAGCCGCACACTGCATCGGCACCAGCTTGTAAGTTCACTCGTTTTGCATGTTACACCCGCATTAAAGTCAGACGGGTTTCTGTCCCTTCTTCCTCTTTCAAATTTTTTCGGTGCAGATTATGAATCAACAAGACCAGGATTAGGGATCCGGCCATTAGTTATTCAAAAATGGCCGTCTCCGACGTGCAGTGGCGAGGCAAGCACTGAAAAAAAAATTCTCAGAGTTTTTACCAATATCCGTTGGTACCTTTACCATCTCACTTTTTTTACCAATTGTTGGTAATTTTACCAAGATAGACTGGTAAGCTTACCTAAAAACCGGTATTTTTACTGTTTTTTCAGGTAAGAATACCACTTTTATTGGTAATCAATTCCCGGTAACTTTGCCATTTTATCCCGGTAATTTTACCACAGTCGATAAAAAATATTGGCATTTTTACCAAGGTCCAGTAAAATTACCGAGAAAGTTCAACAATTTTACCGAGATTTCTTGGTAAAATTACCAATACCATAAATGGTAATTTGACCAAGAAAAAACTGGGATCAAATAGAACCCTGAATTCTTGGTAATTTTACCCTTTTCTTAGTAAATACACCGATATTTTTTTTTCAGTGTGAATGATCGGTTATCCGATATTTTCCCATTTGAAGCTACGGTGAAGAATCTATTATTAAAGTGTTCGTTGCGAGCACCCTATTAATCGATCCTTTTTCATGGGTTTAAAGACAGATCAATCGATATATTGCATAGCATGCCACGCCACTGCCGACGTATTGTCCATTTCACAGCTTATGAGGCGTATGAGACGAAACGTATGCAATTCTTGAAATGCTTGCACGATCGTTCAGCTGTACCTACATGCCACAAAAGAAAAAGCAGAATAAAATTAATTCTCCCAAGTTGTTAAAACCAGTGCCTACACGAATCAAATCGCGCGCTAAAACCAAAACGGTTCCGGGATGCTTCTTATGATCGAACAATGCTCTTTCTCCATTCTGTGTTTTTTAACTGCTCGTAAAAACCGCGCAACAGCTGAGCCAAGGCGTCGAGATGAGGTCTTCATATTTTCAACCGCCAGCAGCTGTTGAGGTAACGTTTAGTGAACGATTCCTTCCAAGTAGATTTAGGTTTTTTCACGAGCGGGATCTTTTTGAATTTACACCGTTAAACATTTCGGAGTGAAATTCTGTACCAGAATTTATGAAGTGTTGTGAAGAAATTTAATATAATTCCTCCGGGGAATTATACATTGAATAAACATTTAAAAAAAAATCTATACAGCGCCAAAAATAGGTTAACGCCGGGGATTTTGGGGGCTATATAGTGCCCAGTACTGAATTTCACTCCTCCATTATGAACAGTGTATGTATGGATAAACGGTAGTTTTTTAATCAGAAATACTTCTGATAATTTTCTTTGAACAGAGGGGCCGCATTTAGCAGAAAGGAATTCAGCCACATCAACTATTGCCAAAAACTGGGCAATTAATTTTTTTTATAAGAGAGCGTTTGTTGGGATTCCTTATTCGAAAATTTTAAGGAATTTGTTTCGTGCTAGGCAGACGATACACTGAGGTTTGCACAAAAATCCGCACAGCCGTTATCATGTGAAAATTAAATTTCTCAATTAAATTTGGCGATGTCTGATGTGGCTTGCTTCATTTCTGCTTAGCGCGGTCCAAACCGTGTTCTACACGAAATTTTAATGAGGGAACATAAATTACAAAGCCTAAATTCGAAACCTTCCCTGAGAAAAAAAGTCGTTTGGATCTAGAGTCCAGACTCATAATAATGTTGATAGGAAATAATGCTCTTGATTCAATAAGATTTTTCCTTGAATCGAAGAGCCGAGCCTTTTGATTTAGGCGGATTTCCTTTTGATTCAAGCCAAAAGTCCCATAGAATCAAGAATATTTTGTCTCGTCAATGTTTTTAAGAGCCTGGACTATACTGCCGTGCGAAGGAAAAACGCCGTATGAACCTTCAGGCGTTGCCAAACTTCCCTTGATAAAACATGAATTTCCTGGAACATTCATGAACATTTTTCTTCCGATTTTTCAGATAATTTTGTTCGTAATGTCACGTAAGGCTCCTGAAACTTTTGAAGCAAAATTTTCATAACTTTCCTACAAATTAAACATTTAATCGAAGGAAATTCGGCAACTCTCGAATGTTTATACGGCATTTTTCCTTAGCACGTTAGTATAGATCCAAGCGATTTTTTCCAGTTTATCTAGGTGTGAATCCAAGGCATAGAGTACATAGAGTCGTAATGTAAGTGGGAGAGCTGGCGCCACTTTTAAGCATTTTCCATGTCCCGAATTCCGAGACTCCTGTGTGACGCCGGGTCACTTTTTCGATACTTAATCGATTGTTTGCGATACACGGGTACCCGGCCATCTGATGACAACAACAACAACAACAACAACAACAACAACAACAACAAAGGAGATAGGAATTACCACGTATTCCACACCGCCATTTTGGATCGTCGGAATTCGTCGAGCAGAACATGGCGCCAGCTCTCCCACTTACTTTACGACTCTATGTACTCTATGATCCAAGGCCATATTTTCGCCTATCATATGCAGCTAGAGATATTAAAATCGAATTGCGTGCTGTTTTTCAGAGGGGATCCAGTGCAGGTTCGTCTGGGCGAGCTGATCCTGAACAACGAGGACGACGGAGCGAGCCCTGTGGACGTTCGGGTGGAACGGACAATAGTGCATCCCGATTACAGGGACGACCGAAAGTACAACGACATTGCTCTCATCCGCCTCGAAAGGAAGGTCACTTTCAGCGCCTCCATCCGGCCGTCCTGTCTCCATCAGGGGGGGGAACTGCACCGGCTCCCCGAAGCCACCGGATGGGGCTACACTGAATTTGGTTAGAACAAAACATTTTTGGCCCGCGATTTAGGGTGATTCGTCAAGCTCTCTGACGTGGCCGAACTGGAACGTCTAGCACTTGCTAGATGATGAGTATCAGCTCGTAAAAAACGCCTTCGTCGAGAAAATAAACTTAACAAATTAAGGATTAAAACAGGAACCTTGATGCTCATAATTGTTTTTACTTACACAATATAGTACATGCAGAGGTGGGAGCCGAGGCTTTTCAAACGTCTAGCGTTCATCTCTGGGCTAGCGTACATAGTATCAGCGAAAGAGCAAAATAACAAACAACAAGCACTAAGTAAAGTACATCATGCACAAAATTGAATTAGCTCAACCCTAGTAGCACAGCTCCCCTATATTATACCCATAATATACATATATATACATATTTTATAGATGTTTTATACTTATATTATAAATATATATACCTATTTTATACCTATAATCTACCTATATTATAGGTATAAAGATTATATTAGTTTGCGCTATATTCTACATATATTATAGGTATAAATATATATTTTATACCTATAAAAGATGTATTAGGAATTTGTAGGCC